GATCGCATCTCCTTTGACTGATCTAACTCGACTTGACACACCATGGGACTGGACCGACGAGTGTGAGGCAGCTTTCAAGCGTTTGAAGCATGCTCTCACGCATCATGAGGTTCTCATGGTACCCGACCCGCAAAGGCCATTCGTAGTGACCACTGACGCAAGCCAATATGGTATTGGCGCAGTGCTGGCTCAGCAGGAAGGGAAGAAGTTGAGACCGATCGAGTACATGAGCAAAAAGATGCCTTCAAAGAAGTTGGCAAAGTCCACCTACGAGAGGGAACTCTACGCTCTTTACAAGGCACTTGTCCACCGGAGGCACTACCTGTTAGGAAGGTTCTTCTATTTGAGAACTGACCATCAGGCCCTCAAGTGGATCAAGACTCAACCAATTCTCTCTGATGCACTAACGCTGGATTGAAGTCATAGATCAATACGACTTCAAACTAGACTATTTGAAGGGAGAGTACAACAAGGTTGCAGACGCGTTGTCTAGGAGGGCAGATTACCTAGGTGCGCTGACTTCTGAGTTTGGTCTATCTGAAGATGTAACTCGATCTTTGGAGGAAGCCTACAAGGAAGATCCAATCACGATGGACATCATCAACAAACTACAGGCTAAAGACAAGGCCACCACTGGTGAGTTTGTGATGGTGGATGGGTTGCTCTTTCTTGAGAAGGCAGGGTTCAAGAGATTAGTTGTTCCCTCTAGGGAAGCTTTGCGCACTTTATTTTTAGGTGAGTGCCACGACGCAATGGGACACTTCGGTTATAAGAATACTAGTGCTAACTTAGTACAGCGATTTTGGTGGCCTAACATGTTTGACGATGTGAAGAAGTATGTGGAGACCTGTCAGGTCTGTCATCGGGACAAGCCGCGGACTCAAGCTCCGCTTGGGTTACTCAAGCCTTTACCCATTCCTGCTTGTCCGGGTCAGAGTATCTCCATGGACTTCATGGATACTCTCGTGACCAGTAAGAATAACAAGAGGCACATCTTCGTCATTGTAGATAGGTTCACTAAGTATGCGAGACTAATCGCCATGCCAGAAACTGCCAGGACTGAGCACGTCATCAAGTTGTTCATGGACAACTGGGTGCGTGACTTTGGACTTCCAAAGACTATCATTAGTGATAGAGATGTGAGATTCACAAGCAAGATGTGGAAGAAGGCCGCTGAACAGATGGGCAGCCAGCTTCAGATGACTTCTGGGAATCATCCCGAAGCAAATGGGCAGGCTGAACAGATGAACCGAGTGGTGCAGCATCTGCTGAGGCATTACATCAAGCCCAGCCAGGATGACTGGGATGAGAAGTTACCTCTCATCGCCAGTCTGTACAACAACGCTGTACACAGCACCATCGGTGTCAGTCCTAATCAACTACATCTGGGATGGAAGCCTAGATCTGTTCTAGACTTCCTCCGGCCTGAAAACCGAACTGCTGCAACTCCTGGAACCATTGAATTTGGTGTCCGGTATGAGAAACTGCTGCAGCAGACTGTCGAACACATTAAGAAATCTCAGGAGGCCATGACTGCTTCTGAGAACAAGCGTCGTCGACAGTCCACATTTCAGGTAGGGGAACGTGTCTGGGACAGGAGTTTGGCATCTCTAGGAAACTAATGCCTCAGTATTTCGGGCCCTGGGAAGTCCTGGATATCCTGGGGAATGATTTGGATGGTCCCTCGTACGTTATTCGTATCCCTGGTCACCTACGCACTTACCCTGTTTTCCACGCTTCCAAACTTGCACCTTTCGAAGAGACAGCACAGATCCCATCACAGAGATCTATGCTGCCCCCAACCATGCATGGTCATGTGGACGTCGACGACATCCTGGATCACAGAGATACGCCTGTTCCTAAGCCACCTGGCAGGGGAAGACCTCCCAAACCTGCGAGGGAATATAGAGTACATTTCAGGCATCATACAGATCCGAAGGAAGAT